CTTCCTGTGCCCATAAGCACTGGGAGGGATTCTGAACCCTTTCTGGTTTTCCATGTCTACTGCAGCAGTAGCAAAGGCCTTGCTGGCTCTTTCCTACTTTTCCATTTCCGAGCTTTCAAGAACCAAAAGCTGCCTTTTGCAGAGACAACCTTGCTTGCAAATGGCAGCCAGGGAGGAATATTGAATTCATAGCCTTATACTCTTCTATTGAATGTGCCCATTTCAGTCTGGTTGGAGTGACTTTGAATGCCATTGCTAACAAAGTTGAAGTGTTCTCCTTAGAATATGTGGCTGTTGATACGAAGAGAAATGGGGTTATAAGCATTAGGTAACGGCCTGTCCTTATGATTCTCTCTTTGCCATAGGTGAGAAGAGCAAGAGCCATCTTTGCCCTGGCTCTCTCTCCTATTGCAGAAGAAGCCAGAGAGGAGGAAAATGAGAAAGATGACCACCGCCTTTGTCCAGCCGTGGTCACACCAGAACGTCCTCATCATTCCAAGAGAGTAAGTGCCCGTTGTGGGGGGCGCCATCTTTAGTGCAAGGCAGAGGTGCAACTTTCTGAGCTGCCAGCACTTGCTGTGTCTGGCCCAGGATGCTGAGTGCTGGAGTCCCGCAGGACGTAGCCATTTCCTGCAGGCAGTGAGAGCTAGAAATTGGCCTTTGACCTGTCCTGTTGGGCCAGTGTTAAACTCGCAGCTCCCTCGGAGCTTCTGGCTGCTTGGCTCAGGGAAGCTCCATCTCTGGGCTTCTGCAGTGGTATGGCCAAGGGTTCACGTGGTAGTGCCGGAGGTCAAAAGGCTTTGTTGCTTGCTTTTCCCTTTTTGGAAAGGTGTCTTTGGCTTGTGGAAGTGTTCTGCAGTTTTCTTGAGTCGTTCTTCACTTGTAAAATCACTGCTGGCCCAACTGCCTTTTGGCTTTTGAGAAGGTGCAAACAGCAGAAGGGGCAAGTTTCTGCTGATCCGTTTAGTGATGAAGTATGCAGTTTTGGCAAATGTATTGGAGCCCAGAGTGGGGGTGAAGCTGCAAGTCCTTGACTGCTGTCTTGTGTTGCTCAGAACAGGAAGGCCATCGTACAATGGTGCCTGCTGTATCTGAAGTGAAATGGGCACCTTTGTGGCTGGGGAGCTGCGTGGGCCAAAAGGAGCCAGGGTTTCTGCTGGCCTTGAGCCACTGAAGATGAGGCAGCATGTGGCCAGGTGGTTAAGAAGGCCCAGGGCATGGTGGCCTGTGTTAGCAGCAGTGGGGCAGCAGGAGCAGGGCAGTGAGCGTGGCCCTGTGCTGGGCAGCGCTGCGGCCACAGCTGCAGTGCTGGGTGCACTTGTGGGCCCCTGGGCAGCAGAAAGTCCTTGAGGGGCTGCAGCGCGTGCACAGAAGGACAGGGGAGCTGGGCAAGGGCGTGCAGCACAAGGCCAGTGAGGAGGTGCTGAGGGAGCTTTAGCCTGGACAGTGGGAGGCTCTTGAGGGACCTTCAGCGTCTCCTCAGTGCTTTCAAATATTTCAGCCACTTTTGGAAGTGACTTTTCTCCTTTTTTCTTGTTTTTTTTTTTGTTTGCTTGGAGGCTTATTCATTTTCTTTTTCTCCCAACTAAGGTGCTTTTCCTCATTATTTTCTACTGCTTTACTGCACTGCGACTGGGTCTGCTAGAATTTTAATTTCCAAGGTGTCACTTCCGGAGAATGCAATAGTTTTGCATGAGAACACATCATTCTGTGCAGGGACCTTGGTGCAGAAGGAGCTGTTGTGGTTCTAGGCCAGCTAGTATGGCCTTACAAATCACTTTGAGCTTAGCAGTGCCAGTGCCTTTTTGCAGCCCAGGCAATCAGTGTGTGTTGGGTTTGGGAATTGAGCAGGAGATCAATGTCCTTGCATTCCAGCTGCTCCTCAAAGATCACAGGAGCTGGGAGGGGCTGGGCTGCATTTCTTATAGTAGAGGAAATGTATTGTACTTGAATATCTGTGTATAGGCTTTGCTCTGGGAGGTCTCAGTTGTCTTTGATAGGCTGCAGCTGCGATGTCTTTAATTAAGCTGCAGCTGTGACTAATGAAGATAACTGGGATAAAAGGGGGCGTGTTAGCCAGTCAGGGCGAACTTTGAAAGAGCTCTGAATTGAGGGAGAGAGCAACTTGCAGAAGAAAGAGTCTGTGCTGTGAATATCTGCAGCCATGAGGATACACCCAGGAGGTATGGACTTTAGAAGTCTGATAACAACAATGTGAAACTCTAAAAATATAACAACGATTTCTGATGCCAGCCACTTTACTACCACCTTCAGTGTGGTCATGTCCAAGAGAAGAACTTGCCTGAGCACAGATGCACAAAGAGTGCAGTTCCCAGTGCAATGCTTTGGATCTGATCCCTTTCCATAAGGACCTACATGCTCCAGATTCCCCAGCAGTGTGCTTTTCTGAAGCAACAGGAGAGCAATCTCAGAATTTTAGTTGAGCGGGACACTGGCTACCAAGTGTTGATGTCTGTAGCAACAGAGAGGACAGTAAAGAGAGATTTCAGTCATGAGATCTATCTATCTATCTATCTATCTATCTATCTATCTATCTATCTATCTATCTATCTATCTATCTATCTAACATTTACATAACTGAATCTTCCCGGCTCTGGTCTAAGGCTGTTGGAGGTGCAAAGGTCCCCTAAAGCATCTCTTTCAGGAGAGGATTAGAGACATGTTCCCTCGACTGATTCTGAGCAGGCAGAGATGTTTCCCCCTCCAGATATGGTGGCTTTTCCCTCCTCAGAGTTGTTTTGCTCCTCTGGCCTCTTCTGCCCTCAAGTCCCCAGTTAACTCTTTAAATTTCTGCCTGTTCTAGAGAGGTGCAACACTTCCATGCTTAGGTGGTGTTTGGTGACTCTGGTCATACATGTGTTATGTGACACATGGTTTCCTTCACTGGCATCCCCAGGGCTGTGTAAGTGCATTCGTTCATGGGGCCTTAGGAGAGTCTCTTTCCCTCAGCAGCAGCAGCAGCAGCAGCAGCAGGGAGCGGTGGCACGGTCAGGACGAGGAGGAGGTGGCTGCCCTGGCCCTTTACTCCTGGGCTCCAGGCCAGGAGGGCTCTGGCTGCAGCAGGGCCGCTCTCTGGGCAGCCCCTGGCAGCCTCTGCACGGAGCACGGCTCGCTGCCCCGTCCTGCTTGTGTCACTTTCCTTCAGCAATACCCTAGAGCTCCTCTTCACAAGGAAGAACTCCAGCATTGGAAAAAGAGATCATTCAAGTCCAGTTCTACCTGCCTTTGTATTGTACTTCAGGGCATCTATTTTTTTCTCTATAATTTCATGATTTTTATGAAAATATGCATTCATATCTGCACATTTTTGTCTTTCTAATTATTCCTATACCAAAACACTTCTTTTTTAACTCTTGATTTATTGCAGTTGGTAATTTTGAGGTAATATATTTTAAAATGTCACAAACCAATACCCTTTGCGTACTTTTCCTCACTCCTAAAAAAAAAAAAAACATAAGCCATTTTAGCCTCTGTCTCTCCAAGTTGGTTTAGCCTCGGCCTATTTTAAATCAGGGCTACAATACTTTTATAGGATTGAGAGAGGTCCAAGAAATACACACCACTGATTCCTCTTGTGGAATGTCATGGCCATGCCATGAAGCCTCTTTTTACTTTTTTGTTCTCTCATTAGCTCAACTGCAAACACACATTTAGTTGCAAACTTACACGAGAAAAAAAAAAAAAAGATGTGATGGGCCTTTGGGAACTCCTTGCTCATCTTTCTGCTTCTTCAGTTGAGCAAGGCTCTGATCCAGGCAAAGAGATTGCACTTAGTGCTACAGAACCATTTGGCTGGAACTCTGCTGATTTCTAGCAACAGCTGGAGGCCTCTATCTCCCCAGGATGTTTTGGCTGAGCCAAGCTTTGCTGGCTTTTGGCTGCAAATACCATTGCCCTTGCTTTCTTCTATCCACAAATACCGTGGCTGGTCAAAAACTGCCACATGGGTCATATTCCCAAGGCACTTTGGTCTGCTGTTGGTGAAGGAAGGAGACCATTATCCACTCCCAAACCACATGAAAAAATCATGGAAGACAACTTCCCATCCTTAACAAACAGCTGACAATTGACAAGTGGATCTAGAGCTTCTTTATGGAATGAAAAGGAAAGCAATCTTCCAATGCAGTTGTGCTTTCTGGAGTTTTTCTTCTGACTCCCACTCACAGCTGGCACTGGAAAAAGGCACATCTCTGCAAGTGTCAGTGTCTTCTGTCTGCCATCAATTGTTTTGCTGCAACTAGCACAACAGGCATCAGGCTGGAGAGAGGCTCAGCTGATGTTAGGAATGGGAGCTGCCCCACGGTGAAAAAAAGCAATGAACTTTTATCTCCCAAACCCATCTCCCCAGAGGCTCAAGCAGGATTCCTCTGCTTCCCAGAAATACAAAGAAATAGGGCTGAGAAGACCCTCTGCAGCTATGTGTTCATGCCCAAGACTTTGCTGATGCCATTTGGGTTTTGCCTTTTTTTCTTTTCTATCTTTCCTGTATTGCTTGCACATCTATTTAGAGCTCTGGAGACTACTCTATTTGTGACTACTTTTCCCAGTCCTTTGCCACGGCCTTTGCCTAAGCAGAAAGACAAATTCCAGAGCTCCAAGCGCCGGGGGGGTAGAAGGCCCCAGTGTTATCTTGGTTCTTCCTAGGACAGAGCCCTGCAGGGAGCTGGTGGACTCACCATCCCTGCAAGCCTTTAAAAGAAGACTGGATGTGGCACTCGGTGCCGTGCTTTAGTAGAGGTGTTAGGAAATGGGTTGGACTCGATCATTTTTGAAAGTGGCTGTCTTCCAAGGCAGTGATTCTGCGATTCTGTCACTGAGGGAGCTTTTCCGCCAGCCCTGGAAAGGGCTGCGGGGACCCTTGGCCGAGGACGGCCATCAGGGCTCATGGAAAAGCAGCAAAGGGCTCAAGGCGAAGGCCGAGAGGGCAGAGCTGCCCCAGCACGGCCCAGAGCGAGCCTCATGTCCTCCTCCTCCTCAAGCTGCGCCCTCTGCGCTGCCTTTGCGGCACCGGCGGCTCCTCTCGCTGCCGGGCTCCAGGGCGTGCTGGGGGCCGGGCCCCTCGTCTTCGGCAAGCGCCGGAGCCTCGGAGGCGAGCGGCTGCTGCTGTGGCCGGCAGGGGAGAGCTGCGGCTGCGGCCCTGGGCACGGCCAGCTGCCGCTATGGCCGGCTCCTGCCGCGGCTCCTGCCTCTGCTCCGGCCTCTGCTCCTGCCCTGTGCGCACAGACACGGCCGAGGGCTGCCCGGCAGCTCCCTGCCGCTCCGCGGCGGGCCCGGCCGGGCTGCTGCTCTCTGCGGCCTCTGCCCGCCGCTGCCGGCCCCGCCGCGTTCCCGCCCGCCTCTGCCGCAGCCGGGCTCACACGGGAGGCAGCACATTGCGGCCGGCTCGGAAAAGCCCTGCCCGCAAACTGCCCGCCACGGCCTCGGCCTCAGGGCACGGGCTGCCGGCGTCCTCGCAGCTGCGAGCCGGCCCGGGCCGCCTGCCGGCCTCGGTCACAGCTCCCGCCTGTGTCCCCGTGGCCGCGGCTGCTCGGCCCAGCGGGCTGAGCACAGCGAGCGCCAGCAGCAGCAGCTCCTGACGGGCCCAGCCTCCGCGCGCTCCGAGCCCGCCCTCCCCCGAATTCCAGCCCTGAGGGCCTTGGCGTCCCAATGCATCCCCTGCGGGCAGCAGAGTCGGCCGCTGAGCTCAGCCCATGGTGACACCACCAAGTGACCAATGGAAAATTCACCAAATCCTCAGCAGAGACAACGGAAAAAACTCCCATGCTGTCTGACAGCCTGAAGCAACTGCCAATTCCACATCATTCCATCCACGTGGGAAAAGGACTTTTGTATTAAAGCAGAAAAGAGTTACCTAAAAGGAGGCCAGGAACAAACAACAAAGTTCTTTGGACTCATGTTTCTTGTGGCTGTTCAAAAGACCAAGAAAATGCAATCTTTGCTCTTCTGACACAGCTCTCTCTTCATCATGTGGGACAGCGAGTGCTGATGTGCAGGAGAGTTCCAGCTGATGGAAGGCACAGGGATGAGAATGCAGCAGGCACAGAGCCAAGCTGACAGAGGGATGATCTCTGGCAGTGGCACTGAAGGAGAGGAGTTTCCAGGCAGGACAGAAATGGCTCTTGGTTTCACCTCTTCTTTCAGTGCTGCTAAGAATGTAGCTTGGAGGAGGCTGCAACACCAGAGCATGGAGCCCTTTCCAGGCAGGGCTGCGTCTGCTGCAGGGGCAGAGGGAGCCCAGCAGGGCTCAGACACAAAGCAGCAGGAGACTGAGGAGCCCCTGGGGTGGCAGTGAGCAGCCTCGGGCTCTGCTCACTGCTGGTGCCATTTTCCATTGAAGCATCTCCCAGGACTTCTGTTGAGCTCTGTATTTCTTAGTGTTTTCCCTCCTGAGATTTTTTGCTTGTGTCCTGCACCTTTCTTTCTCTACATTTTCCTACTCTGTCAACAGCAGCCTTTGTCCAGAACTGGCTCTAAAAATACGAGCAAAGCAGCTGGCAACAGCAGTGCGTGCAATCCTGTGGCTCAGGAATTCTTAAGCCAGAGCCTGCCTGTGCCTTATGCTTGTCAGTACCTCCTCTTCTGTGCAAAAACTAGTCATCAGTGGAGTTTTTTTGCCTAAGAGCTCCTGAGATGTCGGGTTCGGCTGTCTGTCTCTGCCCCGACACGGGTAGAGTGGTTCTTGGGTGGCACGCGTTTCAAAGGACGAGTCTGGACTCTTCAGCTTTTCGGTCTTCGGATTGTTTATTATTTCTTATCTACAAAATTTTCTGTCTGCCCAACAGAGGTCTGATCTGCAAGCAGTCACAGGCACTCTCTGACCACCCATGGGGCGGTCATGTCTTTTTATACTAAAATCTACATACACAATATTTACCTTTATTTCCCAATGCTTTTCACCCATGTTAGCAAGTGCACCTTCACCAGAAACCAATCCCCAAGTGCCAACATCATCACAGGAGATGGAGGACAAGAAGAAGAAAGAAGAAGGACAAGACATGCCCTGATCCCTCCATCTTGTCTCCATAACCCCCCTGTACCAAAAACCTTAAAGTTTATATTTCACCCTCTAAATGTGTCTCTTTTACACCTTTTACTCTAAAGTGATTCTCTTGTCCTCAAACTCTTGTTACTTCTGTGGATGGATCAAAATCAAGCCACCAAACACTCTTGGCAACATTCCAGGATTTTCGAGACCCCCCAAGAGTTCTCCTGGCATCTCTGGACATCGGGAACGATGTGCTGAGATCCCACATCTCCCCCTTCTGTTTGCACCAAGAAGACTTCTTTGGCAACTTGACTCATGACACGTCTCACACACAAAAAGATGCATGGGACGATGAGCATGAGGACTAAGAGTATTATTAAAATATAAAATCCCATTTTTAAAAACCCTCTCCATAAGGGAGAAAGATCAAAAAATCCCGCCACATCATCAATCCATGACCCAGTGATTTCACCTAGTTTCTTTATACTGTCTTTTATATTTTGAATGCTTTCATGAATTGATTTTGAATGATCTGAGAGATTCATGCAGCACATTCCCTCAAACTCTTCACATCCATGTCCATGAGCAAGCAATAGATAATCGATTGCTGCCCTATTTTGAAGAGTTGCCTCTCTCACACTGCTTATATCTTTCAACATGTCACTCAAAGCGAGAGAGACTGATTGAGCATGCTTGCTCAACCAACAACCCATATGGTCCAGTTGAGTCAAGGCCACCCCCGACGCTGTCTGAGGTGAGAAAATTGCTGCCGCAATTCTCCTTGCCTTGTCCCAGGTGTATACTTCATCATCACAATCTGCACTGTAATGTTGCAAGGACTTTTTTTCTTTGTGTTTTTGCTCTCTCAATACTTTCAAATCTGGTGACAACATTGAAATCCTCCCAATGCTGCATGGACCTCCCTTGGCATTTGCAGGAATGCCGTGCCAAATTCTGTCCCCACAAATTAAAAACAACCCACGTGGCAATCGCACTGGGACCTGGATTGATCCTTTGGCTGTCGTCACAGTGTGATTGCACCAAGCTGATGCGTTTCTATAATATTCGTTATTTGGTGTGACATCAATGCTTTTGTTCGTCCTTGACACATTCGAATTTTCAAATTTCATGCATAGCTCCATTGTTGTGGACCCGGAAATCTCCAATTCCTGCTGTTCGGTAGAAGCCGAAAGGTAAAAAATGTGTCCAGGCACACCATTCATTCACAGGATCTTTGATGACCTGCGAAATCTCCATTGAAGGATGCCCTGGAATTGGCCATTCGCCCACTGGCAACCCAACCATGCATGCCGTGAATGGTTTCCCTGGTTTCGAATGTGTCAGGCAGATACTTTCTAAATTTGCTGCCTGGGCTAACGTTTCCCAAACATTTTGTTTTGGCTGACTGACAGGTAGATTTGCTCCATTGCTTAAAGCAACAGATGCAAGCATGAGCATCATGAAACTCATGACTTCACCCTTATAAAAAATCATTTTCATGCTCCCACTCAAAGCCACAAAGGAAAAAACCCCCCAAAGTTTTTATTCTTTTTGTTCTCCTTCTGAGTTGTTGTTCACAGCTTGAGTTTCTTCCTCCGTCTGTGTGCTCGTTTCTCTGCTTCCGGGATCTGCGTTCTCCTGCTCTCTCGTTCGAAATGGCTTCACGTGCCGCGCTGACACCCACTTCAGCCCTCGCCCTGTGGAAACACAAGCAAAACCCTTGCCCCAAGTGATTAGTTTGAAAGGACCCTCTGTCTCTGGGTTTCTGATCAAAACCAAAGGATTCTCCCTTAGTTTTGCCTGAGAGCTGTTTGAAAAATGCCTCACGATTGGTGGATTGGGTTCAGAAGACGAACTGTTAAGAAAATTCAACACATACAATGCTTTGTTTAACTTCATGTGTGGTGTCGCCTCTGGCTCCCCCCTTTTCTGCCTGTCCAAAAGGGATTTCAGGGTGTGATGTGTTCTTTCAATGATTGCCTGACCTGTGGGTGAATGTGGAATGCCAAATGTGCGTCTGACACCCCATCTTTTTAGGAATCTGTCAAGCACCCTGCCTGTATATGTTGGACCATTATCAGTTTTTATTTCTTGAGGCACACCTAATGATGCAAATGCTTGTAAGAAATGTCGACAAGCATGTTCTGCTGTTTCCCCTGCATGTGCTGAAGCAAAGACTGCCCCTGAAAATGTATCTACAGATACATGAACATTTTTGAGTCTCCCAAATGATGGATATTTTGTGACATCTGTTTGCAACAGCTGAAGACTTTGCAGTCCTCGTGGATTGACTGCTCCTGTCGAAGCAGGTGGTTGCACGAGCTGACAATCTGGACAAGCACTAATGATTTCCCTCGCCTGAGTTTTTGTGAGACGAAAGGATTCCATCAGCGCCTGCGCATTCTGATGAAAAAATGCATGACTCAGTTGTGCTTGCTCAAAAATGTCCGGAAGTGTTTGTGAAATGGGCATTGTCAACCTGTCTGCCTGAGCATTTCCTTCCGCTAGAAATCCTGGTAGTGTTGTGTGCGCTCTGATGTGAGTGATGAAGTATTCTTCTTCCCTGCTTTCTAGCACTGCTTTCATGCTCACTAGATAGGAATATAAAACTTCGTTGCTGACTTCTTTCAAGAGCGAACCTTCCAATCGTTTGACCACCCCTGCAACATATGCAGAGTCCGTGACCAAATTGAGCGGTTGTTGGAACAACTGAAATGTAGAGAGCTTTTTGGATAATTGGTTAGCTGAGAAAGGACATTCCGATGTGATACCGATGGATAAGGGTAAGAGAAACAAGCTGGGAACTGAGCAACCGGTGCCCAATTACTGACGAAGGTCACAGTGACCTTCTCTAAAACGGGAAGACGGGGGAGAAAATTGCTTGCCAGAAAATGTAGTTATCCCAAGGCAGAGAAATTAGAAGAATGTACACATAGAAGCAAAATAATTGTTAAGAGATAGAAGTAGGTGTGTTTGATTATAGTGTGCTTTAACCAATAATGAGCTCAGATTTTGCAATATGCATAAGCTTCATTAACACTAATATAAAAATGTGTAAGCTTTCAATAAACTTCGAGATTTGCTATTCATCGCATATGGTGTGTCGCATCTCTCCCGCCATTACGACACTGAAATGCTCGGACAACAGCTGCCAACTCCACAATTTGTGGAGAGCCTTGAACCGTCTTCACGTTTGAATCCCATTCCCCTGTCGTTGAGTTCATCCACGTGATCACTGACTTGTGTGTCTTCCCTGATCCATCAGTGAACACTGTGATCCCGTCCAGAGGTTCTTCACTTATTCTTGGCTTTGCTCTGTAGCATATTTGTGACTGCAACATTCTATGTTGTGGAAATTTGATTGTGCAAGCTCCTGGAAAAGCTAACAATGCAATTAACAAATCTTTTGATTTCTGCATCGCCCAATCGAAATAATCTTTCTTCAAAGGCAGATATATCTTTGAAAATTCTCGTCCCGCCATTGTCAGCAATCTTGTTCTCCCCTTTATGATGATCTGTGCTGCCATCTCCAAATCTGTCAGAATTGTCTTTGAAGGCCTATACGGTAAGAAAATCCACTCTATGATTATT